TGGACTTGTGTTTGTTAGACTTTGTTATTTGTTTTTAGTCGGATTGAATTACATTGGAGTTATTCGTTTGATTAGTTAATGTTATATGGATGTTTGATTAGTTCCAGTCTTGGTTCATTTTTTAGGTTAATATGGATTCAGATAGTGAGAATGATGCTAGAGCTGTTGACTTTCTCCAGTCATCAGATGATGATGAACAACAACAACATTATATCCAATTATTAATGTCGATTGGAAACAGACGAACTAGGCAACCTCGTCGTAATTCTGCGTTAACAGGACAAGAATATGTTTTAGAACAATTACATAGACATCCTAAAAATTTGTTTGAAATGTGTCGTATGCATCGAGACACGTTCGAAGCAATTGTTCAGTTAATTCGAGGCCGCAATCTACTGCCTTCTTCAAGTATTTCAGCAGAAGAATCTCTAATGATGTTCTTCACGCATTTCAAGGAATTCCAGTTTCATTCTATAGAGAATTAGACATTATCCCCCCCAAATCCATATTTTCTATATCATTCACTTCCCTCTTCCTTCCTCTTCTTGATCTCAAGAATCATTACAATATATTCATCAATAATAGTGGAAAACCCAGACCCTATAGAGGGCGCAGTTCTCATTAACGAGCGAATTTCTGTAAATTTTCTGTCTCTTTATCTCTATGTTATTCTGTAATTTATTTATTGCTACCACGACACTAATTCTCTGAATCGCCTAAATTCGGTCATTAGTCTCTGACAAATTCAATTTTAGAATTTCACCTTCTACACACACAGGATAAAACTAGCATCTTCCAATATCTGCAAAAAGACCATTTGATTTCCAACATGGTTGTCCCACCTGCACATCAACAAACAGTCTACAGAGGAAGAAGACATTTGTGCACTCAAAATGTAATGGCGGCGTGTAGTTTTGATATGCTATTCACTTATGTCAATACCGGATGGGAAGGATCAGCTGCTGATTCCAGAGTGTTAACTGAGACTATGATAGATCCAGATGACCCATTCTTGGCGCCCCCCCCAAAAAAAATATTACGTTGTGGATTCCGGTTACAGCAACACGCAAGGCTTTTTAGCACCATTTCGTGGTCAGAGGTACCATATTCAACAGTTTAGAAATTGTGGTCAACCAACGGGACCACAAGAGTTATTCAATTATTATCACTCTTCACTGCGTAATTGCATAGAGAGGAGGGAGAACAAGAAGGGCAACAGGAACAACAACATGGTATGGATGCACAAGAAGCAGAAACATCTGAAATTAGTGGTCGGCAACAACGTAATTACTTGGTTAATTTTAGGGATCATTTAGCTAATCAAATGTGGGATTCGTATATGCGACAATAATTTAAGCTAATATTGTAATTTCCATATTTTATTAATTATTAGTGTTTTTATTTGTGATTCAATTATTATTTATTTAATATATTAAATACATGTTTTCAAAAATGAAACCACCAAACGCAGTTTCAGTTTTTTTTAAAACTGAAATCAATCTCTAAATAAAACTACCAAACGCATTTTCAGAAATAATTCAAAAATGAAAATGAAAACGTTTTCATTTTCATTTTCGTACAGAAAATAAAAACGTTTTGGAATCAATTCCAAACGCACCCTAAGATTTCATTTACCTCCCCAAAATCCTTCCTCTAATTTCTTCTTGCTCTTCCACTCTACAAAACACAATGTAAGGGAAAAAAAATGTTTCTTGTTTTAATTTAAAATTTGCTTTTGACCTTATTCCTAATTTTGCTTCATGTATTACGGCTATGTGTCAAGTAATTAGAGGTCACTAGGAGTGATCGAGTAGGATCTTAAAATAACTTTCTTGAATCTCAAGTAATTACAGTCGCCTTATTTTTAAATAGGTGCTCCAGTCTTGATCAATATAATACGATTAAATAGATAGAAATGCGGGGACTCACTCGAATTTTCTATAGTCATCATATGATTAAAAAGGAAAAGAAAGATCAATCTTTTCCCCCAAAATAAATCCCTTTCTAATCGAGTGAGGACAACTTGATGCTCTCTTGTCTAGATTTTTTATTCCACTGTTTTTATAGTTATTATTATTGAAAAAAGAATCGACCATTTCTTAAAAAGTATATTAGCGTAATAAATTAAGCCATTTTATTTTATCAACATAATGCCAAGAATTTGATAATTTGCTGCTCATAAAAAAAAAAAAAAAAATTTTTTTTTTTTTTTTTTTTTTTTTTTTTGCTGAAAATCGAAACGAAGAATTTCAATTACATATAATAAAAAAATAATAATAATAATAAAAAAAGAATTTCTACTAGGCAACTTCCGTTTACTTGAACTAATTTAGCTCACAGAAATCCCAGTCTTTTAGGCGAACACGTACGTGGAGTTGAAGAGAGTCAAACAATCTGATTCTTAAGCCTTTGGATTCTCCGAATCTCCTTCAGATTTCCAAAACCCTAACCCTAACCCCTTTCTTCTTCAACCTCTGAACCCTAATTCACTGCCTGATTGGAAGGTGGAGCCCACAAGATGAGGAATAAACGAGCTGCTCGGAAGAGAGTCAACATCGCATTCGATGCCGAGCCCTCTTCATGGAACGACGACGTCCCGGTCCCGGAGAAGAATGTCGACGATGTCCCGCGACTCCCGCCGACAGCGCCAGCGCCATTGCCAGCACCAGCGCCATTGCCAGCGCCCAAGAAAAGAAAGCTAGACGTCGCTGTTCTACAACCCCAACCCCAACCCCAACCCCCGACGAATGAGGTAAATCCATGGATGGTTTCGATTTCATTTTGTTATCGCCGAATTTTGAATTTTTTTGGGGGATTATGGTTTAATGCACGAACGTCGTGCGTTCGATTCGGATATTTCTGATGCTCAAATCGCTCCAGCGATGTGCATTTGAAGAATCTTTGAGATCGGTTAGGCTTTCTTTTTTTTTTTTTGGGTTTTGTGGATTCTGTGGCTAAAAGTTGTGTTCTTGATTCCTTTCAAAGACAAGGAAAAAGCTTTTCCTTGGTAGGACACTCACTGGTTTCTACTACTTGGAAAGTTCAAATGCGAATCTTTTACTTTCTTTGTTTCCTTTTGGGGTATTTGTTTATCTCAAATTTACCGTACTACAAGTGTTTCCAGTTTTTCGGGTTTGTCTTCTTCATTGTATTCTGCATTTTAATTTACCGGTATCGTGATTTACATATTGATACGTTTATAGGAATAACTTTCGAATTGTTTCGTTTTAATACAAGTATTCACCTTGGTTACTTACAATTTCTTTTCTTTTCAAATGCATACATATGAACTGAAACTTGTTAATTGAACTGCATTGTCTTAGGTTGATTTAGAGGCTCAAAGCTTGATTGTGCCGAAAAAGCAATGGAACACTAAGCAAAAGATAAATTTGTACTCCAAGGCCAAAGTCGTTGATATTCTAAATGAAAAACTAACAGCGAGACAAAAAGAATTGTTCAGGAAAGGATGCTTCGGGCATTTGCTAGATTTTAAAATTAAGAAGTTCCCATCGCAGTTGATACACCACCTTATCCTAAGGCAATGCCCACAAGCTAAAAAGAATGAACTATGGTTCGACATAGAGGGTGCAATTGTTAAGTTTGGAATGAAGGAATTTGCGCTCATCACAGGGCTGAATTGCAGCAATTATCCCTTTATTTTTGAGAAACAATTACCTGAGAGTACTACAAAGCGAAAATTCTTTAGAAAAGGAAAGTCAGTGCAAAGAATAAAGTTGAATGACGTGTTCCGTGCTAATAGGGGAGGCACTGATGAAGATATTGTGAAGCTGGCAAAATTATACTGCTTGGAGAGCTTGTTAATACCCAAGAAAATAGAAAACAATATTGACCCTAACCACCTGAAGATGGTTGATAACCCTGAGCTGTTTGACAATTATCCGTGGGGAAGATTGTCGTACGAGATGACCATAGCATATATTAAGAGGAGTATTAAGAGCCAAGAAGCAGAAGCATATGGGATTGGTGGTTTCCCATATGCTGTAATTGTGTGGGCATACGAAACAATCCCAACTTTGATAAAAAAGAACATTGCAAAGAGGATTGGAAATGGAATCCCAAGAATTATAAACTGGGAAGCTGATCAGCAACCTTCATTTAGGGAAATTACAGACAGAGTGTTCGATTCCCTTGAGGTAAGTATTCAATAGTAATAGCCTCTTTTTTTTCTTTTTTTTTTAATCCTCTCGTCTGAAATTTGAAGCATATGTAGGATTGAATCGTTTCTTTACCTAGTGACTACCAATATACCAATTCACGTGTAAAACCTTATTGTTGTTCTGATTTTTTTTTTTTTTAATGTACTGATGATTAACACGTTGATTTAACATTTTCAGCTTGAAGTGCGCCAGATTATTCCTAGTAAAGAGGAAATGGAGCAACCTTTTATGGCTCTCTTTGCAAAAGAAAAAAAGAAAGAACCCAACGGAGTGGAAGAGGAAAAAGATGAAAGTGACTATGAAGACGTTATCCTAACGCCAGCTCCTATAAGACAGGTACGGAGGATTGAAACTGAAAACCAAGGTGAAGGAGATCAAGCGATAAAAAGTTTGATGTCTAAGGTTGAAAGAATGGAGAAAACACAATTGGAGATGAAGAAGGATATGGAAGAAATGTACACCATGCTGCTCGAGATACACAGCACTGTAGTTGATCAACCAAGTTACTTTGTAGGAAAATATAGCAACAAAGAACCAGTGCAAGTTGAAAAAAATAATGACAAAATCTTTGAAGACAGGAATCAGAAAATGGGTGAGAATGATGAGCAAAAGGTATGCAAGCATATTGACTTTGTAAGTTTCTGCTTTACCACAAAAGGAATTTAACTTAACCATAGTTTCTTGATTTTGTAGGATGATACTGAAAAGATAGATGAACATAATGACAAAGTCAGTGAAGATGTAAATGAGAAAATTGAGGGCAAGGGTAGTGAAAAGAATGGTGGGCAGAAGGTATTCATAGCAAGAATAATGAATAAAACTCTATTAATTTTCTGATTTAGTAACAAAATATTTCCAAGTTGATAACAGTGTGTTGATCTTGCGTAGGAGGATACTGGAATGGAGCACGAAAAAGATAATGATAAAGTCAATGAAGTCGAGAATGAGAAAATGGAGGTCGAAGAAAATGATAGGCATGGTGAGCATAAGGTAAGCTTACTGAAATATTGTAATTTCTTATTTGATTCACAGAATTTCAAGTTAATTACAGCTTCTTCATCTTGTAGGATGATACTGGAAAAGAAAATGAAGAACATAATGACAAATTAGTTGATGACGCCAAGAAAATGGAGAACAAGGATTCTGAAAAGAATGGCGAGCAGAAGGTGTGTAAGAATATTGAAACTCTTTAACGTTTCTGGTTTATTGAAAAACAAAGAATTCAAAGTTAATTACAGTTCCTGATCTTGTAGGATAATATTGGCAAAGAAGATGAACATAATGACAGGGTCATTGAAGGTGTCAATGAGAAAATGGAGAACACGAATATTGAAAAGATTGGTGAGCAGAAGGTACGTGAAAATTTTGAAACTCTTTAATTCTGATTGAGTGAACAAAAGAATTCCAAAATATAGGAGTTTCTTGATCTTCTAGGATGATATGGGAAAAGAAGATGAAGAACACAACGGCAAAGTCAATGAGAAAATGAAAAGCAAGGAGGATGAAAAGCTTAGTGAGCAGAAGGTACGGGAAAAATATTTAAATATATTATGTGTGTATATATAGGGCTCGTTTAAGAGGTATACTCAAACCATGATTCTTAACTCTGACATTTGAGATTTAGATTTTTTGTGAGGAAAAAAAATATAGCAGAATCAATGATTTGAATTTGAGTATATGAAACAAACGGGCCCTTAATTCTAATTCACTAAACAAAAGCATTCCAATTAATGTGACTTTTATATTGTAGGGGGATACCAGGATAGAAAGTGAAAAAGTCAATGGTGATGGAAATAAAAAAGTGGAGGACAAGGAAAATGATTAGAATGGTGAGCATAAGGTGTGTAAGCTTATTTAACCATCTTTGTAACTCCAAATTAATTGCAGTCTTTGTTTTGTAGGTTGATACTAAGAAATCTTAGATAACGAAGAAGTAAATAGATACTATAGTTTTGTTTTTTTGTTTTGTTTTTTTTTTTTGTTGCATAAGTGCGAATGGATTGTTCTTAAAAGTGTAATGCGTTTGTGATCAAAATGTGGTTTGCTATGTGTAATCGTTCATTATGTTTTGCTATTCTTTATTGAAAAGAAATGGGGGTTCCTTTTGTGCTTTCTTGATTGTCTTTTCTTGCCTGGTCGTATAAACCAACCAACAAGAAACATATCATATCAAGTCATTTGAGAGTTTGTGATTTTGGTAATCTGGTGTTTGCTATGTACAATCTGTTTGCTTTATTCGGGATTCTTTTTCTTGTTATTACTAATTGAACCAATATAAATTGTCTATAATGTAGTTGTGTTGCTTGAAAGATGATGACCATTGATCATGCGTGTTTTTTTCACAACTCGAGTTGAGAACTTGAGTTGTAAAGTGTTTGGTAGATGGATCCAGAATCATGATTCTGGATCCTGGTTCAGAATCAGTGTTTGTTTACAGTGATTCTGAATCACGATTCTGAATCATGATTCAGAATCAGTGTATGGTTTGGATTATTTTGAATCATGATTCGGAATCTGATGTGATGTTTTAAACTATCTCAAATCATGATTCTAGAACCACCCTCCTCTTGATTCAAGGTAATTCAAACCCCTGATTCTGAATCATGGTTTCAAAATCGTGATTTGAACCCAAAATCATAAATCACGATGCTGGTTTTAGAATCATGATTAGAATCACCTTGATTTGAATCCTCGTACCAAACGAACCCTGAGTTTAATGTGAGAGAAAACATTATAGTAAAAAAGTTAAATTTGAATTTTTGTGAAAAAAAAAAAAAACATTGTAGCAAAAAAGTTTGAGTTGTGAAAAAAATATGATTCTTGAGACTGTAATTTGGCCCTTGTATGTATTTTCCTAACTGATTGATTAAGCAAAACATTTCTTAGCCGAGTCCTGTTATTTATGAGCTTGGAGAATGTTAGTGGTAATTCACGCTGACTTCTGGACTACTGAGCTACAATGTCTCTCTCAATGCTGCTGTGGAACTATTTGTTGCCCTCATTCCGATAAGACATATCTGGTGCATCAGTTTTCTTACTAGTAGTTACAGGCTACTCAATGAGGAAGTTCAATTGTGAGGAGCAAAGGAATGGGAACTCCTCAGTCCCAATATATGCTCAGCGAGAAAGATATTCTGCTTAAACAATATAACACAGAAAATTGTATTTATCTGAACTACAAATTATAAATGGTACATGCATTGTGACGTATGAGATGGTTTTACCAATCCATTATTTTATCTAGTCTGCGTAGTTTAGCACCGGAGTTGTATGCTCCTAGTTGTCTTGATACTTTTGCCAATTACTTTCCAGATTTTTTTTTCTCCAGAAATGTAAGATGCAGTTCATCAGCAAGTTGGAGCATGTTGTGATGTTGTCGAAACCCAAAAGAAAGAACTTGAGAAGCAAGCCATAGAGTTTGGGAGAAAAGAAAAACTGAAAATGATTTGGTGCAGAGTGGATTGAAAAGGTAACCTTATATTAGAGTAAGTTTCCAGAGACTATTCCTCGGTGAATATGATTGTAAAAGGCCCCTCATTCTGGATTTGACATATGATTGTATCCTCGGTGAATATTTAAAAGGCCTTTCCAACTTGTTAGAAGAATATTTATTTAGGTGCCACTAACCTATGTACATCCTTTTCTATCTACCTTTCAGTTACAGTTTTCATCAATTTCTTTTCCCTTTTTTTCTTGTAGATCTACTCTGGGACTATGTATTTTCGTTGTTTTGCAATGAGTAACCTTGTCGAAGAAGGAAATAGAAAACGTAGGGGGAATTCAGGGTCTCCAGCTCGCAATTATTGAGGTTTCTTGAGATTATATGTTGTCGGGGTAAACAGATGAATTATCTTTGTAGCAAAAAAAACAGGATGAATTATCTTTTTCTGATGTTGCATTTTTTTCAGTTGTGTTTGCGGGTAGGTGGTAGTTGATTTACATGCCACTCGAGTTAACTTTGGGCGGGGCTCGTAGCTTATGTGCACAAGTATGGAAGAGAGTTTATAATGATGTCCTCGAGTAGTACAAACTTGAGAAAACTGATGTTGCATTGTTTGTACTTGTTTTATACAGTACAAGTGCTTGAAAGCTTAATTTGACTAATTCGAGAAAAATTTAATAGAAACGTCATGTTTGTTGTTTATGATAAAACATACATAATTATGATAAGAGGGATGAAACAAAATGAGTTGGGGTCAAAAGATGTTTACTAGAAAGAAACTCGTTTCAAATGACAGTCGTTTCACCTTCTTTGCCTCTATGGTATTAAGAAAAGCAACAACAATTATAACAAATGACAAATAGATGAATAAAGGAATAAACCCATAAGACCATCTCCAACATGCTAGCCACTTCATCTTTTGAATTAAATTTGTTGGTAAATTTTTTTTTTTTTTAAAGTTTTTTTTTTTTTTTTTAACTCAGAAAATTAAAAAAGAAACTAAGATTTTTTTTATTAAAAAAAAAACTAAAGTGATAGATTTGGGAGCATAGAAGGGTTAAAATGAGTATAATGCAAAAATATTTATAAAACAAAACATTTTTTTAAAGTTATTATTGCCATATAATAATAGTTTGGGAATATTTATTAATATGGTTGGGCAAATATAGTCACTCAAAAAAATGTATCAAAGCTAAATATGTGAACAAAAAGATATAAAAATGTCAAATATGTACAACAAAAAAAACACTAATTTTGGTTTTTTTTTAGTTTAAAAATTTTATTACAACTTCTCATATTTAATGCTTTCTATCTATTTATTTAACAAATAAACTAATTTCGGTATACATATATATATATATATGTGTATATATTCTATTAGGGATTAAAGTTAGTATAACTTTTAACATAGAGACTATTTCTATTGAGCGAAGACTGTTTAGGGACATTTTATGAGACAAAATTAACAATTTTCATTTAAAATTTCATAAAGAAACTATTTACAAGACAATTTTTAAGTTCAGAAACTATTCATAAAACACAATTAACTACAGAGACAAAAAAAAAGTTTAGGGACTATTACAAATTTATTACAAAAATAAATAAACATGAACGACATGTTTATCCTCCAAGAATATGACATTCGTCAAAGGAAATACGACTTCTATAACATGCTTACCTACACGTAACTAGAATAGGGATGAATTGAAGCGGGCAAGATGAGAGTAGGTAGGATTCAGAGTGAGGAATCAGAGTTAGAATAAGTTGTTTATTTAGTGACAAGATTCAAAATCGGAATGAACTAGTATAAAAGTATTAATATACCCTTTAAGTCAATTTTATATTTTTAATTTAAAAAATAAATTGTGTACTTATTATATTAAAATTAATCATAATTAAAATATTTAGTATAATAATAGAGTAATTAAATAACAAATATAAATTGTATGATTATTTAAAATATAAGTGATGGAAATAAAAAAGTGGAGGACAAGGAAAATGATTAGAATGGTGAGCATAAGGTGTGTAAGCTTATTTAACCATCTTTGTAACTCCAAATTAATTGCAGTCTTTGTTTTGTAGGTTGATACTAAGAAATCTTAGATAACGAAGAAGTAAATAGATACTATAGTTTTGTTTTTTTGTTTTGTTTTTTTTTTTTGTTGCATAAGTGCGAATGGATTGTTCTTAAAAGTGTAATGCGTTTGTGATCAAAATGTGGTTTGCTATGTGTAATCGTTCATTATGTTTTGCTATTCTTTATTGAAAAGAAATGGGGGTTCCTTTTGTGCTTTCTTGATTGTCTTTTCTTGCCTGGTCGTATAAACCAACCAACAAGAAACATATCATATCAAGTCATTTGAGAGTTTGTGATTTTGGTAATCTGGTGTTTGCTATGTACAATCTGTTTGCTTTATTCGGGATTCTTTTTCTTGTTATTACTAATTGAACCAATATAAATTGTCTATAATGTAGTTGTGTTGCTTGAAAGATGATGACCATTGATCATGCGTGTTTTTTTCACAACTCGAGTTGAGAACTTGAGTTGTAAAGTGTTTGGTAGATGGATCCAGAATCATGATTCTGGATCCTGGTTCAGAATCAGTGTTTGTTTACAGTGATTCTGAATCACGATTCTGAATCATGATTCAGAATCAGTGTATGGTTTGGATTATTTTGAATCATGATTCGGAATCTGATGTGATGTTTTAAACTATCTCAAATCATGATTCTAGAACCACCCTCCTCTTGATTCAAGGTAATTCAAACCCCTGATTCTGAATCATGGTTTCAAAATCGTGATTTGAACCCAAAATCATAAATCACGATGCTGGTTTTAGAATCATGATTAGAATCACCTTGATTTGAATCCTCGTACCAAACGAACCCTGAGTTTAATGTGAGAGAAAACATTATAGTAAAAAAGTTAAATTTGAATTTTTGTGAAAAAAAAAAAAACATTGTAGCAAAAAAGTTTGAGTTGTGAAAAAAATATGATTCTTGAGACTGTAATTTGGCCCTTGTATGTATTTTCCTAACTGATTGATTAAGCAAAACATTTCTTAGCCGAGTCCTGTTATTTATGAGCTTGGAGAATGTTAGTGGTAATTCACGCTGACTTCTGGACTACTGAGCTACAATGTCTCTCTCAATGCTGCTGTGGAACTATTTGTTGCCCTCATTCCGATAAGACATATCTGGTGCATCAGTTTTCTTACTAGTAGTTACAGGCTACTCAATGAGGAAGTTCAATTGTGAGGAGCAAAGGAATGGGAACTCCTCAGTCCCAATATATGCTCAGCGAGAAAGATATTCTGCTTAAACAATATAACACAGAAAATTGTATTTATCTGAACTACAAATTATAAATGGTACATGCATTGTGACGTATGAGATGGTTTTACCAATCCATTATTTTATCTAGTCTGCGTAGTTTAGCACCGGAGTTGTATGCTCCTAGTTGTCTTGATACTTTTGCCAATTACTTTCCAGATTTTTTTTTCTCCAGAAATGTAAGATGCAGTTCATCAGCAAGTTGGAGCATGTTGTGATGTTGTCGAAACCCAAAAGAAAGAACTTGAGAAGCAAGCCATAGAGTTTGGGAGAAAAGAAAAACTGAAAATGATTTGGTGCAGAGTGGATTGAAAAGGTAACCTTATATTAGAGTAAGTTTCCAGAGACTATTCCTCGGTGAATATGATTGTAAAAGGCCCCTCATTCTGGATTTGACATATGATTGTATCCTCGGTGAATATTTAAAAGGCCTTTCCAACTTGTTAGAAGAATATTTATTTAGGTGCCACTAACCTATGTACATCCTTTTCTATCTACCTTTCAGTTACAGTTTTCATCAATTTCTTTTCCCTTTTTTTCTTGTAGATCTACTCTGGGACTATGTATTTTCGTTGTTTTGCAATGAGTAACCTTGTCGAAGAAGGAAATAGAAAACGTAGGGGGAATTCAGGGTCTCCAGCTCGCAATTATTGAGGTTTCTTGAGATTATATGTTGTCGGGGTAAACAGATGAATTATCTTTGTAGCAAAAAAAACAGGATGAATTATCTTTTTCTGATGTTGCATTTTTTTCAGTTGTGTTTGCGGGTAGGTGGTAGTTGATTTACATGCCACTCGAGTTAACTTTGGGCGGGGCTCGTAGCTTATGTGCACAAGTATGGAAGAGAGTTTATAATGATGTCCTCGAGTAGTACAAACTTGAGAAAACTGATGTTGCATTGTTTGTACTTGTTTTATACAGTACAAGTGCTTGAAAGCTTAATTTGACTAATTCGAGAAAAATTTAATAGAAACGTCATGTTTGTTGTTTATGATAAAACATACATAATTATGATAAGAGGGATGAAACAAAATGAGTTGGGGTCAAAAGATGTTTACTAGAAAGAAACTCGTTTCAAATGACAGTCGTTTCACCTTCTTTGCCTCTATGGTATTAAGAAAAGCAACAACAATTATAACAAATGACAAATAGATGAATAAAGGAATAAACCCATAAGACCATCTCCAACATGCTAGCCACTTCATCTTTTGAATTAAATTTGTTGGTAAATTTTTTTTTTTTTTAAAGTTTTTTTTTTTTTTTTTTTAACTCAGAAAATTAAAAAAGAAACTAAGATTTTTTTTATTAAAAAAAAAACTAAAGTGATAGATTTGGGAGCATAGAAGGGTTAAAATGAGTATAATGCAAAAATATTTATAAAACAAAACATTTTTTTAAAGTTATTATTGCCATATAATAATAGTTTGGGAATATTTATTAATATGGTTGGGCAAATATAGTCACTCAAAAAAATGTATCAAAGCTAAATATGTGAACAAAAAGATATAAAAATGTCAAATATGTACAACAAAAAAAACACTAATTTTGGTTTTTTTTTAGTTTAAAAATTTTATTACAACTTCTCATATTTTATGCTTTCTATCTATTTATTTAACAAATAAACTAATTTCGGTATACATATATATATATATATGTGTATATATTCTATTAGGGATTAAAGTTAGTATAACTTTTAACATAGAGACTATTTCTATTGAGCGAAGACTGTTTAGGGACATTTTATGAGACAAAATTAACAATTTTCATTTAAAATTTCATAAAGAAACTATTTACAAGACAATTTTTAAGTTCAGAAACTATTCATAAAACACAATTAACTGAGACAAAAAAAAAGTTTAGGGACTATTACAAATTTATTACAAAAATAAATAAACATGAACGACATGTTTATCCTCCAAGAATATGACATTCGTCAAAGGAAATACGACTTCTATAACATGCTTACCTACACGTAACTAGAATAGGGATGAATTGAAGCGGGCAAGATGAGAGTAGGTAGGATTCAGAGTGAGGAATCAGAGTTAGAATAAGTTGTTTATTTAGTGACAAGATTCAAAATCGGAATGAACTAGTATAAAAGTATTAATATACCCTTTAAGTCAATTTTATATTTTTAATTTAAAAAATAAATTGTGTACTTATTATATTAAAATTAATCATAATTAAAATATTTAGTATAATAATAGAGTAATTAAATAACAAATATAAATTGTATGATTATTTAAAATATAAAAAAATTGTCAAAATTTAAATAAAATAAATAAAAATAAAAAATAGTGTCAAAAAACTAAAATATATTATTATTTTATTAAACAAAATAAAGTACATATTTATCATATTAAAGTTAATAATAATTAAGCTAATATTATAATATTAAGTAAATATAATAATTATATGTTGTAATTATTATTTTTTAAATTTTATTTTTAATTTAAACATCAAGAATCAGAGTTTTAATCCTAAGAAACGTGAGAGTTTTAATCCCATTCTATTATTTTAAATTTGAGTGAGACTCACTAATCTCATTTACATTCTATTATAGGATAAAAAAGAGCGGCCATATTTTTTTCGTTGATTCGAGTTTTGCTACAGTAAAAAGCTCTCAGAAACAGTTACATTTAACATTTTTATTACAATAAAAAATTATCAAACAACATCACATCTCAATTCGAATTAGCGAACCGAACGGGCCCAAATGAACTCCTTTCCTGTGCCATTAAGGTTCAAGATGTTTCCTACGTCACAGGTAAAAACGGCCTGTCGCTTTAAGCCTATGAGAGAACGACGCCTTGTAAGAACGATACGTCGTTTATTATAAATTATTGCCGCTCTGCTTCTTTCTTTCGGCGTGTAAACCCTAAACAACGCAAAACACCCAATATATAAGGCTACGTCTTCCTTGGAAAATCTACAGATCTCCTTCTGCACAATCTTGAAACCCTAAATTCGAACCTTTTCCCCTGCAAATTATACCGACCAGAAAAGCAATGCTCTTTCTTTGGGGCTGTGATTGGACAGAGAGAGGCTCGAGTGGGGTTGGATTGCTTCACCAATCCAACCATGAAAACCCTAATTCCATTTCAAAGGAAAACCGATGAACAATAAAGGATAAAGAATGAATCTTTGATCGCCGCCCCTTTTTCACACAAAAAGGTAGGCCTTGTTTGGCGTCCGAGAATCTCATTTTCTCTCTTATTGTTCCCGTTTTTCCTTTGTGTCCTTGGGATTTGGGTTTTCCCACCGTGATGGTCCTTTTAATCTTATACACTTGATATGAGCCCTTTCCGGCCTTTTTTTTCCAAAATTTCATCTCTCTTTAAAAGTGTTTTTTTTAATTTATTTTTTATTTTTTATAATTTCGTATTCTCTGATTATGTGTTCTTACGTTTTTCTGCACTTGTTGTGTTTTTGGCGAGAAAACTTTTGTCAAGTTTTCTAGCTGAGTCAACAGTGCGTACATAGAAAGCCTGATTCTTTTTCTCTTTTGCTATATTTTCTTTTTTATAGGAATGAGTTGAGGATTTAGGCAGCGGCCAGACAACCGTAGGGATGGTATCCACAGATGAAGGGATAATTTAATCCTTTTTTTGTCTACTGATTCCATCTCACATTACTTTTATCATAATCTTTTTTATTTTTTTCCTTTTCGCGTCGTATTGGTTTACTTGTGCTTGAATTTGATGTTTCAATAATGTGCTTGGATGGGTTAATTCTGGATTTGTTGTGTTCAACTGGTGAAATTTCTTACCCTTGTATTAAGGTTTTAAATTGTGTCTGATGCAAAACGTGGAATCATTTTAGTTTAATTCAGGATTCTTCTTATAGAATGCATGTTGTTTTGAAATTCTCACGAGACTAGAAAAATGAAAAGGATTAATATCACTATTAGTCCCTGGATTGCAAGTGTTGTGTCACTTTCGCCCCTGAAGTTTTAACTTTTAGATATTACCCCTATCCCGATGAGGTAACACTCCCAAAATTGATAGGAAGTGCCGTATGACACTTTAAAACCAGCGGCGGAGCACACCATCGCGGGATAGCCAAACTCTTCCCCATCCAACGGTCTTGAACCGCCGGCCGATATCGTCTCCTTTGTGGGGATGACATCGTTGCTGCCGCTTCCCGATCGGTCGGGATTCCATTTGACTTTTTCGGTGTGTTTCCACTGTGTGGGTGATTTGAAACGGGTCTCTGAGGGTTTCATTTTCTCTTCCTTATCTGGATTTCTGCTATTTCTTGAAAAGTTTGATTTTTTTAAAAATTTGTTTATGAATTTATTCGACGGGCCAATGCCACGTCGCCGGTAGCTCTGAGAGAGCTTTGACCGGCGATGCTATGATTGGTCCAAGAGTGATCCGCTGTTTCGCATCTTGATAGGAACCTGTGGATCTTGCTTCCAGTTGGTCCACGGAGCCGTTTTCTGCGATTACATTTATTTAACTTATTCTAATTTATTCTTTTTTTTTTTCTTTTTTCGATAGTGATTGTATGAAGCCAATGATGATTAGTATTGTTTTAGTTGGAATTACCGTCTGAATTCTTTTGATGTCAAACATACTGGCTGCTTTCTGAGGCTTGTGGAAATAGCTTTTGCTTTGCTTGCTATTTAAATTCCAGTGACCTTTCAAGTTTTCCTATCTTTATCGTTTCCGGTTGGTATTTAAGTTGAATCTGCTAGTTTACTATAAGCTTGCTTTTAAAATAAAATTTATATATCTGTCACGTCTATCATAATAAGATGTGGTGAATGAATCTATATAAAAATTATTTAGCAAAATGACTTTTTTTTTATTTTTTTTATGAAGAAAGACACTTACTCATTCTTTGTAAAAAGATGTCATTTTATAAATAAAAATTTTTGAAAAGTTATTTTGTAATACAAATTTTCAAAAGAGTTATTTTTACAAAGGCTGCAGTTGATGTTTCTACAATGTGCTTGGAAGGCTTTCTTATGCTGTAATTAAGGTTTTAAATTCTGCTTGGTTATATTTTCCTTGTATGATGATCTTAAACGTATAAATGTCCGTTAGATTAGAAAAAAGAAAAATGTTGTTCACCCTGACTCGTAAGATGTCTCACGTGAGTGGGGCCTATCCAATATAATTCTGGCTCAACCGGAACAGGATGAATTGCATTGTTCATTTTATTATCTTTGTAGCATAATGTTATTTATCCCGGGTTGAGAGAATTAGTTTGTTGTAATGGGCCCTGTTATGTGAAGATTATGAAAAATTCTTTATCTTTATTGGGATTTATTCTTTCTATTCACATGTATTGTAGTCTATTTTACGTGTGGGGATTTATCCGGTGGTGATGAATAGAATTGTTGTCAGAATTATTTCTCTTTTAAAAAATATTGGGAGCATAATTGCTTGGCACATGAGTTGTGTTGAGTGGTTAAGGGTTTGTTCATTTGGACTTAAATTCAAAAAAAAAAATTGAACTTAAGTTATAATTTTATTTAAGTTAATATTTTTTTTGTAAAATTTGAGTTTGATCTTGAATTTGAGGTTAAAATTTGAGTTTAAGTTTCTTTCTCAATTTAAGTTTGTAAATTAAAATTCAAGTTAATAAATAGTATTTAAACTCTTTTTAAAAGTGTTATAATTTTTTCATTTTAATTTTGATAGAGATATTTTTTTTTATGCGTTCATAACAAAAAGATGACAAATAAAAAGATGAATAAAATTTTATTTATATATCTTATTAAAATTTTTCATTATCATGGAGTTTTTATTAAAATATTATTTAAATATAAATTTAAGTTTTGATCGATTTAAATATAAATTTAAATAAATTTTTAATTTAAACTATAATTTAAAATGTGTGCATTTAAATACAAATTTAAATTACATCTCAATTTAAATCATATTTAAATTACATCTCAATTGAAATTATATTTAAATGCATCTTAATTTAAATTAAAATTTGAACTCAAATAATTTTTAACTTAAAAAATGTAAATAAATAAGTCTTAAATTTTTCAATGGTTGAGGGATCAAATTTTCCATTTTATACATGTCTTGTTGGAAAAACTTCCATGTTAATCTCATAGGATGTTATGTTGTTGACCTTGAGATATGGATGTTTATTATTTATGTCTTTTTAAATAATTAAATATTATTGTAGTATTTTGTTTTTTTCTGACAATTATTTATTTGTAAGTGGGGTAGAGTAAAAATATTTTTTACCATTTTAAGTGGTATTTCTTATTTTTTCTCGTGTTAGACCAAAATTTAACTTCTTTATGCTAGAGAGTAGAAGGCCTTGAAGAATTCACTCGGGAAAATGAAAAAACTTTTAATAAGTATGAAGAATTTTTAACACGGAACTCTCGACTTAAGTTTTCTGATGGATGTTACAAGTGCGCGCTCCTCCTATTTATAGGTCTTAGCCTGCTGGACGGACAACCGAGGGCAAAACCTGTGGCAGCGATCTAACGCTTATGCGCAAAACGAGAGGATGTAGTTTATTCTTGAAGTATTTCAACATGAAGTAAATTTTACCTAGAAGCAAATTTAATGGCTAAGTCAATAATACAAATATTACAAACTTAGATAATATTGGAGCCTTCTCCTTGTAAAATAACGAAAACGACAATGGCTTGGTGAGAACCCTGAAGTGGAAGCTGAGGTAACATGAGGCGTGAGTGTGTAAAAGATTAAAATATCAAAATTTCAGATAAATTATCAGTATCAATGGAAATATTAAAAAAAATTATGGAAACTAGGAATTAAGGGGAAATTATCAGTATCAATGGAAATATCAAAATATATATATA